TGCATCTGCAGTTTGTAAATAATGTAATAAGAAAAGAATGTTCTAAATTTTAGCTAAATCTACGATCCGAACTATGTATTTAAGTGATATCTGTAGATGCGTCAGCTAAAAATAACTAAAAACTAACTTTATGGGGCAGAGCCCTTCTTGAAAAGATAACATTCATTCAACTACCCAAGAAAATTCGCCGCCTTTTATGGAACCCGAATTTTTATTTCATTATTCCTTAACCTGATACAAATGAATTTATTCCACACCCTTACTCCCCATTTCTTTAGATGTATTTTAATGTGATCCTTCCATCTCTGCCTAGTCCTACCAAGTGATCTCTTGTTTTAAGGATCTCCAGTCAAAAACTGATATGGACCTGTAAATATGACGTTTAAAGTAAAACTAAAACTCACCTCAACTAGTGCCGAGGTCAAGGAAACGTGAATCTATATATCTACTCCCCCTTACGCTTTCATGGCGTAGAGTTTAATTAGTTATTCACAGGGACAACTTTATCTATTTTTACCTATATTTTCGGTAAGATTTTCATGCACGTTTTACTGATCATGATAACACTGTAATCGACAATTCAGATTTTTTGGGCAGACGTAGGCTACTGTGTGCGTTTACAGCACGGATGGTGAACCCTTTCGTTAACTTGTGCCAGATTTATATCATAAGTTACTTATGAACAAGGGGGGACGTTATGGTGTTCATACCTCCAGTGCGGCATCGTGAGCTTAATGAGATATCTACTGTTGAAGAATTTTATACAGTTCTCCAAAGAGAGCGACGTGAAAGCCACTTTTTAGAGCACTTTCAGAGACGTGTCTTTAAACCGGAGCAAGTATCTGACGTTTCAGAAGTAATTCGCGAGAAAATAGAGGTTGCGTTTTCTAGCAGCATTCTTTCTTCGGGTAACCGTATTCTTACCGATCGTGGTGAATAAAATGTTACGCGTATTACCAGTAATTACACGTAATTATAGCGTTATCACTATTTCTACACTTTATAATTCACTGTCACACACACACACTAGTGGTTTCCTAGTAATTAAAACACAGGAACTATAATAGTCTCACTGAATTACACACTCCAGATATTACATATAAAGTCTACTCTTCTCAGCCACACTCTTACAACTAACTCTTTTCTTCGCAGCTTCCTGTACAGAACGCTGTGCTCTCAACTCTACTCTCCTGAACTATGATTCAAGAAACGATGTTCTTCGTTTGTTATTAACCTTCGGCGCGGACTTCAGAGAAAACACCTGTTACTTGTCAGACTGCGAGTTCATTGGTCCGTTACCGGCACTGGATGTTGCGCGGACGACATAGAAAATACAGCCTCATCTACTGTTGCGTGTTGGACCGCGTTTATCGAACCGTTGCCTGGCATTGGGTTGATCAAAACCATTACATTTCTATTGTTTCCGGCTTTGGGAATGTGTCTATTACCCAGCAATGGGGTTTTCTGGCTGCATAAGTTAATGTTTTGAGGAAAACAAGAAGCATACATATATTTTACGAAAATAAATTACGGCTTCGTAAACTACTGAAATTCTAAAAGGCTTCAGATGTTAAATTTGTTTCCAAGGAGAAAGCTTTTCGTGATTTTACTGTGGCACTAGCAGCAGGTAAATTTATAAAATCAGGAAACGAGAGCTCTCTTCCCCTCCACCGCAAGTTGTGGATCAGTGTTTAACACCCCTTCTATGAACTGAAGTAGTCTCGACTGAGTTTCTCTTGGTCTTCCTCATTACCTCCAGCCACACGTATATTCTGGGATCATATCTGAAATTAGGCCACACCGCTTAATTTTGCATTTTCCAATTAACTATTCACTAATTATCCCATCATTTCATTCTGTATATTCGCAGCTAATTACAGTACAGTTAAATAAACCACAAATAAACAAATACACATGCTCTTTCTCTCCCCTCCCGCTCCATCTTTCACACAGACCATGTAGAAGGTCTCAAGACGTAATTTACAAAGACGTACATGGTGTTCCATGTAAACCATGAAACCATGTTATGAACCCTAAAACCTATCACAACGGCCGAGCGATCTAGAGCATGAAATGTCTTCGTACCATTGAACTCTGGGATCGCGAGTTTGTATCCCATCAAGGCATGGATATATGTCTGCGATTTTTCTGTTTGGGTTGTCCTGTGTAGGTAGCGGCACTGCGACAGACTGATCACCCGTCCAAGGAGTCCGACCAACTGTCTACAAGATCCATAGTTCCAGGTTAATACTGAATGGAATAGGCCGGAAGGCCTGATCCGTCAAGTCAGAAGAAGAACAGGTACCTCAGAACTGCTATGTCTGTCATATGTAGAAGGAAAGTATCTCATTCACATGTGGAAAGAAGGCGTGTTTACATGACTTGATGGTAAGCGACTTAAAGATCCGTGGAAATGCGAAGTTAGGTCTGACACAGAAATTGGTTTTAGGGAAAAAGAATGAGAGAAATTGAAAAAGAAGGGGTTACAATGTGTTGGCGGGGAAACATTTTATTGGGAGACGGTGATGGGGAAGGCAGAACAGGCACTGCCCCAGGATCGTGAAGGCCTGTGTGTGCAGGGTGTCTGTACATGCATATCCTAAACAGTAGCATAATAACAAAAACTGCTGTATAAAGTGAGACAAGAAGAGAAGAGAATTGAAGTGAAAACTGTAAACGGAGCCATTCTCATGAAAACTTTCTTCATCTTCAACTTGAACAATTATTCCCCAAGCAGTCTTAAAAAGTTGAAGTGTAAATCTGCCTCAGGATATGTGGCTCTTAAAAGCAAGCGTTTTCCCCATTCTCACCTAAATAAATCGCAGTGCTCAAATGCGATGCACTGGCGTTCCAGACTGTGTGCAGGGCCAGTGGCGGATCTGGCATCAAGATGTGCCGATCTGGAAGTGAACCATTTCATGCACATTGGTAACTATATATACCACCTGCTGCAATATTCAAAAACTTCCTGCTTGCTCACAGAGCGTTGAACGTGTTTTGCATGACTTATAAACCATCGTTATTTCTCTAAACAGAAATTACCGACCTCTTCCTTTTCTAATGGAGATGTAATGTGTCTTCTGTGAGGTAGGAACTGAATTTATATTATTAAATTAATTTAAAGTTTCAAGGACTAATGGGACCACGGCTCACTACACTACTACTACTACTACTACTACTACTACCATCAATGTTATCATTATTACTACCACTACTACCATCACTATTACTACCGCTAACGCTAATATTACTACTGCTGCTCCTACTACCACTACTATAATCACCAATACTACTGCTGCTACTACTACAACCACCATCACTACTGTCATTACTACTACCACTACTACTACTTACTCAAGGCAAAAAAAAATAGCGAAAAATATACGTGTCAGAAAGAAACAACTTTGGAGACCTAGTAGTAGGCGGGAGAAGGTATTAAAATTGATGTTAGACATATCGAGTGATATAAATTGTCAAAATGATTAATAATTTCACAAGTTAGTTCTGAAGTGGGACATACCAAAGTGTCTAATTAATAATTGTTAAAGAATAGACCGAATTTGACTTATAGTACAAATAATAATCTTTTGTGAATCTGGTGACGGACCGTCTGGTTCACTTTGAAATTTAAGTGCCTTGTCCAGTGAAGCGTACGACCCGGATCCACCACTGTACAGAACTGAAGATTATGCAGCGCAAGAGTGATGAAGACTTCGGTGAGGTCGCCTACCTGCTTCTGTCTATAAAGTTTTACTCTAAATTACAGTTACGTATATGCAGCGTCATCCTTCCTCTCTGAGCATCCTGAAGTGATATTAAAGTTTACGTCTGTACTTTTAAGGTTCTGTTTGCCTCATTGCACTTTACGCCTAATTGTGGTCGCTGTTCAAGTCACACATCTGTCCAATGGCATGTTTGCACAATTCTGTTTGTCAATCTATTTCCAAAACGTTTAAATACAACATCAGACTCTCATATAAGAGCTCTCGTGAATGCGATAATGACACTTCACATTACATAAAAGGCGGGGAATATCTTGACCATCGCAGAAAATTGCATAGGCCGAATGAGGAACTTCAGACTTCGTGCTCGTCTGCATGATTTGTTTTTCAATGGCTCTTCCAGCCCATTCAGGGCCCTGACCTCTTATTCAGTTCCGTAATCGTTTTTTTTTTAACAGACGGTAGGACTCCTTGGGCGATTGATCAGCCCGTCGCAAGGCCGCTACCTAAACACAGGACAACACAAACACATTAAACGCATTCTCTTACCAAACATCCGTGCCTTGATTGGGATTCGAAGCCACTATCCCAGCTTCCGAGCCAGCGATGATTGTTCACGCCTTAGACCGCGCGGCTACTGTGACCGGCCTCTTCAGCATGATTTTTTTAATTCTGCGCTACAGCCCCAATCTGGACCTTGGCCTACCTCCATGAAACTCTCCGTTTCAATTCAGTTTACTAGATCTTAGACGTTCGGTTGGTCTCATTGGGCGGGTGATCAGCTCGTCGCAAGGCCTCTACCTGTACACAAACACAGAAAAACGCACACGTACACACGGACATTGAACATCCATGTCCTGAGTGGGATTCGAGCCTACGATGCAGGCTTCCGAGCGAGCGAAGACAGTGCATGTTCTAGACCGCGCGACTACCGTGACCGGCCCTTCAAGTCAAGACAGATCGTTTGGGAGGAACGTGCAGCACGAGTTGGTGAAATCAGAAATCTATAACATAAACCTGGAAGAAAATCCGAAGTAAAGAGACCATTTGGGAGACGAAGGCTTCGATGTGAAGATAATATTAACGTGGATTTAAAACGATGTAGATTTGATTAATTTGGCTGAGGTGAAGAACCAGAGGCAGGCTTGTGTAATTATGGCAATGAAATGTTTATGTAAGGACGGGCAATTTCTTCAGTACTTAAGAGACTATTAGCTTCTCAAGAAGGACTGTGGTCCCACTCTATGCTGCTTCGGGTCCATCTCGGACAGCATCCTGTGAGAGCAAATCATGTTCGCATTCCTATGACAATCTGCTAATTGCAGACACGCACACAAATTTAATTAGGAGAAAGTTTACATTTACTGTTACATTATTATTATTATTATTGTTAACAGGTTTATTATTATTTATTTGAAATATCGTGATTAAATTTCATTGGCTCATACAACTGGACTTTGTATGAGCTGCATTAGGGATACTTGTTTCATGCCCCTGTATAGTATTTCTGCTTCCCAGAAGATACTTTTCTAATCTGGGGGGGGGGTTGAATTCTCAAGAATTTTAACATACAGTTTTACCTACGCACAGTTCGGGCACGTCACAAGCCAGTAAAAAGAGAAGAAAGGTAAAGTTAGGCCTGTAACAGGCCGTGGAGGCCCACATCGTTGTGAGAAGGCGAGGCTCCCTCATTTTCTAGACAATTGGCAGGCGCGTAAGGCCGACAATCTTACCGCCATCTGTGAACCGATTGTCTACAGAAAATGTGGGAGCCTCGACGTCTCACAACCTTATGGGCCTATACGACCTGTTACAGTGACAGCTTTACCTTTTTACCTTCTACTCAATACTCCTGTAGGTGCTTTCGGAAAATGTACCGAAAATATTTCATGATTACTTTCGTGACTGTATATGGACGTTTTATAGCTAACTGTAGCTGTAAAGAGGTTGGAAAGCTATTCATTTTTCTACAATTACTGTATAATCTCATAGGACCTATAGCAGTGTGTAGAACTGAATTTTGCACTTTTATTGACTGTACTTACTCCTGGACCTGAGCCCTCTGGAGGATCTGCAAATTCTGCAGCTACTCAAGAATTTCCCAGGATCTTATGGAACCCGAAGGTTCAATACCGTGTTCACAAGAGCCCTCCACTGGTCCCTATCCTGAGCCAGATCAATCCAATCCATACCATCTCATTTCTTGACTGTACAGGAACATTAGAACTTACTGTACGTTCTGAGACGCTCTGTACGGTGTTATCACCGTTTAACCTGGGAATGCCTTGCAACAATATGCAGAAATGCACTTAACCGCTGACCTGACTACTACTACTACTTTTATATCCACCCCCCATACGCCTTCATGGCGCAGTGCTTAATTAATTAAGCACAGGAACCACTTTACTTACATTTGGAGCCGCGGTATCATACAGTTCGAGAACTCCTGACATAACTGAATAACAAAGTATTTTCGTCCAATGGCATTACGGAAAATTATTGTTGTTTATGTTGGGCACCGCCGATCACAGTGGCCGAGCGGTCTAAGACACGAAATGTCTCCGCTCGCTCGAACATTGGGATCGTGAGTTCAACTCCCACTCAATAAATGGATGTGTGTTTGCGTTTATTCTGTGTTTGCGTTTATTCTGTGTTTGTGTTAGGTAGCGGCCTTTCGACGGACTGATCCCCCGTCCACGGAGTCCTACTGACTGTCTAAGAAACTGAAGTGAAACGAGCGTTTCATGGATGCCCTATGCTTCGAGTGGGAGCAACAGGAATAGAAGAAGAAGAAGAAGAAGAAGACTCTGAGCACCAAATGAAAGTATCAAAGAGGTCTAAAACATCTGGGTGAAATGTCGAGTTTTTTAACGTTAGGCCAAGTGTTATTATATATGTATGTTCACCACTGTCACTAAAAGGTTAAATAGAAGCCACTGTTCTCTCTTTAGCGATCATTTTAATTGACAATACATAACCACCTTATGTTTTCTCATTTCTAGATAACAGTTAGTTTAATAATAAGACAGCGTACCTCAAATATATTCTCCTACTTTACCAGAATTCGCAAGATATAGGCATAAATCATGAACGGACCGCAGAACAGATATATTTGGAAATGTTGCCTTAAGCACAGCACATTTCTGATGTGTGTGGCCACTTTGGTTCTACTGTCTTGAAAATTAGAAGACATATGCAAAAGTGTAATTGACATAAAATATGTGTTTATTTTTCTCCTCAACAGCTCCGTTGAATAAAAAAAAGAGAATGTAACAGATAATCGTATACAGTAAACGTAACCAGTTCCGTGGCGCACTTCACGTAGTGGCACTGCACATTTTGCTTTAACGCGTCTCCATAGATGGCTCCCTAATATTTTCTTTTACTACTGAAATAGCGCAGTCGGTATAGAGACTGGTTACGGGACTGGACGACCGAGGGGTTTTAGTTCGAGTCCCGGTAGGGCCAAGAATTTTCACTTCTCCAAGTCGTCCAGACCGGTTCTGGGGTCCACCCACCTCCTATCCAATGCGTATCTGGGACTGTTTCCT